AATGTCTGACGTCAAAGGGTAAAAAAACGCCCGTATGACCTCTGACGCGACCTATCATGTAGTGTGGGCCATCGAAAGTATTTAAAACGAAACGAAATATAGATCTGTATTTTTATCAGATTGCACAAGTACACAACTTACCGAATGGTTAGCACGTGCGCGCTGTATTATAAAGCCTGTCATTGAGTCAACTGGCGTGGTTTCGAATCCCCGGTTGTACGTGACAAGGAGTAGGGTCGCCTGTCCAACCTCGTGGGTTTTCTCCGGTTTCCTCCCACTGAGAGAAATGGGATTTAACGTCCACTCGACACAAACTAGGTCATTTCGGGACTAACATATGATTCAATTTTATTTCAATAATTCGCTTGCGTGTAGGGGTCTTTTAGCAGTGGGAGAAAACCGGGGTACCCGGAGAAAACCCACGATGTTGGAAGGCGACCCTACTCCTTGCCATGTACAACCGGGGATTCGAAACCAGGCCAGTTGACTCAATGGCAGACCTTATGATACAGCGGGCACATGCTCACCATTCGGACATCTAACCCCGCGAAACGAAATAAGATCTGCGTTTAAATCAGATTATAAAACATTAGTCCAAACAATTTTCTTCTGTCTGTGTGTTTTTATGAGACGGAAATACCGATGTCCCGTGTATTCGTTGACATAGAAGCAAAAGAACTTTTGACAGCTGGAATTCGATGAAAAGTAGGCGGTTTAAACACCACTGCCCGGGCGAAATCCCCCCCCCCCATACCTGTCCTCAGTAACCTCGTTGGTGCAGAAAGGTAAAACGTAAGAGCCCATTTCGTTTAATTTTTGATGTCCAGTACGCTACACCCTAACCCCAACCCTAACCCCACACCACACACATCACTACTAAACACCACCTGTAGGCCTGCAGCAAAAATTTCAAGCGTGAGGTTCCGCTACAAGATCCTCCCTAATAAACAAACTATACATTTTTGGAAAGCTTATAACACCAGGAACACAAATCCAGCAAAATGTTAGCAATAACTCGATTTAGGGTCAGATGAAAATTGTGATAATTGTGAAGTAAAGATAAGATAAGATAAGATAAGATAAGATTTTATTGTATCATTGCATCCACCAAGGACAGTATACACAGTTTAAACAAAAATTGATCATACAATTATAACATAACATCTGGGGTGATCCTTTATGGATGTACAATGTGATATAACAAGTCTATAAGCACTAAAAGATGGTCGTTATAATGAGAATCAGTATAGAGCTAAAACGAAAATTATCTAAACTAGCATGATATATATTTATACTAACTACCCCAACCCTAACCCCACACCACACACGTCAATACTAAACCCCCACCTGTTATTACTAAACCACACCCGTTATTACTAAACCACCCCTAGGCTAAACTTATGTTTACAGGTAGTCCTTGAGGTTAAGCTCGTATTACATACGGTAGAGTAGATAAAGTGATTATAGAGACATATAACAACCTATAAGATACAGTCGACAGTTTTAACTGGTTACATTGAAATCTCACACCTCTAGTTTGTCACAGTAAATATATAAATCTATCTACCTGTACAAGTGTGGTATATCTACCTATATACAGGTGTGTTAAATTATCGTCTAATCTTTCTTACACCTATTTATCATTATAAACGATACATGGTATTTTTCTTTTTTTCCCAACGAAATGAAATGTGGTTTATCGTCCTACTTTCCAGCTCCAACCAGATTAGTGCAGACGGGCATGTGCGCCATACATTGTGGTATGAGGGGGATTTTGTCCAGGCAGCGGCACTGCGGGCTAATCTTATTTCGATTTCCATTTAACTGTCAAGGATTGTTTTGCGTCCACGATAATGTGTATACGGGGCCTCAGTTTTTCGTCCCATTCGAGCATCTACACACGTTTGACAAGGGGACTCTTTATTACATCTATCTATCTTCTATATTATACTAATATTTGTGACTGTCGTTTGTCTGTCTGTTTGTCTGTCTGTCTGTTCGGGGTTGGCGGCTACACTAGGTCTGCCCCGAGTCTGAAATTTGGGGTATAGGGGTAGCTCGGACCGGGGCGTAACATAGGCCAAGTGGCGTTAGTCTACCATTTCCGGTTTCGGGGTTATGACCCCCGAGCGAAGCCGGGCATTCTTCTAGTACCTTATAAAGTACCTGGTAGCCATTGTGGCTAAGGGAGTACGACGCTGGCTCGCTAGTCAGTGGTGCAAGACGGAAGGCCTGACAAGGATATCTGTCTAGTCGTTCGGAGAGGATAAAAAAAAACAGGTCCCGTGTATACATTGGCGTGCACGTAAAAGATCCCTTGACAGTTGGAATTCGATATAAGAGTAGACCATATTGCCGCTGCCCGAGCAAAATTTCAACCATATCACACTGTGTAGCGTCTGTCCGTCTTCATTAGCCCAATTTAGGAGCAGAACAGTAGGAAGTTAAACCCCGTTTCTCTCTCTCTCTCTCCCTCTCCCCCTCTATCTCTCCCTACGTTAACACAAATATGTGCAGCATTTTCCCTACAATGGTAGGGATGCAAACTCGCTGACTATTGATTTTAAAACGTGTAGTCACAATAGGCGTTGGGGAAACCACGCTGAAAAATACCCGGGGAACAGCACCAGAATCGAACCCTTACTCCCTCGTTAGTGAACCTACGCCTTACTCACACAGCCACCGTGGCTCCCACGGGGATTCGATGTACAACGAATTTATTCAAATTAAATAGTAAAGCAAATTAATTTTTTTGCCCTTCTGTTACTTAAAACATCGTCGATAAAAGGCTTTTTTTTAAATATTTGTGATAAATCTGTAAACCTATATAAAATATATATTGACATTGTTTCGCTGCAGTAACTATTGATTTTATCTGAAAGAGATTTTATCTTTCAAAAGATGCAAACATTTTACAAGAAAACTGTAAGCTCTATAAAAAAATGTGTTATGTAGGTTTATTTTGTTTAAAGTGGCTAAGTCTCTAACTCAATATCATTCAAAGTCTTCGACATTGAAAACACGAATTATTTGTCAATTTAAATCAACACTGATGTTGTAATCTTACCGGGAAAAGATGGGCTTCTGATATCCAAAGTAAACATTTTCCAATTGGTACACGAATCGTGTACCATAATTCGTTTCAACGCCATATGGAACGAGGGACTCGAAGAACGAGGCTAGACATATTCTACAAGTCATGTCAAACGGTGACGTCATATTCTTATCTGGGGAGCATGCGCAATAAATGCTATCGGTGTAGACTGGAATAACAAGACCCAAGAGGTTGCCATTCGTTTGTGACTTCTGGCGTATGTCGCCGAACACAATTGATCTGAAATTAGAGTAAAAAAGGAAACGATTGAATGTAAATCAGTTTATATACATTCATATTGCATTAGTACATGCGTTGCGATTCATTTGTGTCAATTTCTAGGTCCAAAATATTAGAGATTTAGCTCCTTTAAAAATCTTTATTTCCTTAGTATTACATTTATAAATACAGCGAAATGACTTGACTTGATGCACAAAGAGTGGGTTACTTTACGGATTAAAGTCTAGGTACGTCAAAAGCTCGGGAACCATTTTCTTTTTTTTTTTATAAAAGTAAATTTAATTTTAGATAAGGACTAATAATAAACAGCTTTATGGATAACATTCACTAGATTTATTAACTAATGTTTCAATGAGGATACTTTCACCGTTATCAAAAACCTGGTGTTATTATCCATAAAGCTGTCTGTTATTATATATCGTAATCTTTAAGTGGCATTTAACGATCGCAAAACACATTAACAGAACACAGTTTTTATGGGATACAATCATTGGTTTTATTCTAAAAGCACGACGTTTCTACAAGTATCCTATTATCGTTATCGTTATCATTGTGCTTGATAACGATAAGAGGATACTTGTCGAAACGTCGTGCTTTTAGAATAAAACCAGTGATTCTATCCCATAACAACTGTGTTCTGTTATTATATATCGCTTTCACTAAATGCCTTTTAAAGAAACAAAAATTAAGGACTGAGAACTAGTCTCTAGATAGTAATCTTGACTATTAAAAATAAAAATGTAGGCCATAATGTTCATGTAAAGAAATGAATTATCCTTCAATCGTCGGCTAATGATCTAAGAGATAGAACGAATGATTGCGCCATAACATCTATAGAAAGTTATGTGAATTTCAGCCAGTGAGTAAACTGGCGTGGTTTCGATTCCCCGGTTGTACGTGACAAGGGGTAGGGTCAACTGTCAAACCTCGTGGGTTTTCTCCGGGTCTTCCGGTTTCCGCCCACTGCTAAAGATCCCTACGCGCAAGCGAATTATTGAAATAAAATTGAACCATCTATTAGTCCCGAAATGACCTAGTTAAACTTTGTGTCGAGTGGACGTTAAGTCCTCCCTCTCTCTCTCTCTCCCTCTCTCTCTCTCTCTCTCTCTCCACGCTTATATTGAGATATGAAATGAAATGAAATGGGGTTTAACGTCCTACTGTTTTGCTCCGAACTGGGCTAATGAAGACGGGCATACGCCATACAGTGTGCTATGAGGGAAATTTTGCCCGGACAGCGACACTACGGCCTACTCTTATATCGAATTCCAACTGTCAAGGGATCTTTAACGTGCACGCCAATGTGTACACGGGACCTCGGTTTTTCGTCCCATCCGAACGACTAGACAGCTGTCCTTGTCAGCCCCTCCGTCCTGCATCACTGACAAGGGAGAACCACGCCGGAAAATCAGGATGAACTTTCTCGGCCATATATTGAGATACTTCACGAACATGATTCGTGTTTTAAAGAATAAGTAACCGTTTTGTCGGTCTATAATTATGTATTTTAATAACCTGTTTAGGATCAAGCGTATTGTATTTATCCTGTAATGATGTCACTGAAGTAGAAAACTGATATAATACTGGTTACAAGTTGCTGGTATAATTATCGTGTCCTGTATGGTGCTCCATACTTAATGTTTTGTTATTATGTGCCGTGTGTGAGAAATGTTACTACCGATAATCTGTGGTCCAGCAGTTAGTGTGTGAACAACGCCAGTTATAAGACGGTCGTCAAACTTACTGTGTTAGAACCTCTCTCACCTCTAGACCTGCATGTAACACGGATTATCAGATTTACCTGTTTTACATGAGATTTATATTTTACCTTTAATTAACCCACATTTCAACCTACAGGTAAGATGAATTTTTTAATTTGTTTATTTTTTTCTGATGTATTTTGCTGCATTTTTCTTTCTATATAGATTAACGGATTAAGCTAACCAGTGTATGTATCGTGTTTTTCACCTGTACGTTCAGTTATTTCATCTGTGTTTCTAAGTTTCTAGTTGTACGCATATCGTTAAAATCAGAATTAATGTAATTAAGAAAATAATTATGTTAGTTGTTATAATCAGATTAAATGTTATCATTGCTTTATATATAGACAATGATGGGGTAATTTATCGGTTTATTTGATAAATATCAAAATAAAATATGTGTATAATCGACAAAATCGTTGGGGTGATGGTGTGTGTGTGTGTGTGACTGCAAGGTATTGCCTCATAAACCTATAGGGCCCGGGGTCGATCCCGTTGTTGCCAGCGCATTTCTTCAGAATTTTGCAGCGTTGTTTCCCTTTGCAGATCAGAGGACCTGGCAAGGGACTGGTTCTAGTCGTTCGGATTGGACGAACAACTGGGTCCCGGTTTACACGTTGCTCTTTTCGTAAAAGAACCCTTGACGGTTAGAATTCTACGTATTTTCTGTTTGATTTTCGCATCGAATGTGTTTCTAATGGCACTGTCTAGGCTGTTATACCGTAGCGGTTGTTCAGTCTACAATATTTACAATTTAATAAACATCTACAATATTCAGTATTATCCCTTCGCAAGTATACTGTCTGCGTCAGATGGATTACAAGCGAAATGTTGACCATGTTTTAAAAGTAGAAATAACACGATCAGTATTTATCAAAGATTTTCTTTATATTCATTTATCATACAACGCGATAAAATGTCTTTCAACCCGTGTGTGGTTAGGAAAGTTATATATTCAGATTTTTTATCCAGGTGCAGTAATACATTCTACTGTAAGATAAACGTTAATTGCTTTGAAAAATAGATTCCCTGGATTGGGAGAGAGAGAGAGAGAGAGAGAGAGAGGGAGAGGGAGAGGGAGAGAGAGATGGGTTTAATGTCCACTCGACACAGACTAGGTCATTTCGGGACTAACATATGGTTTAATTTTATTTTATTAATTCGCTTACGCGTAGGGGTCTTTAGCATTGGGAGGAAACCGGGACTAACATATGGTTTAATTTTATTTTAATAATTCGCTTACGCGTGGGGTCTTTAGCATTGAGAGGAAACCGGAGGACCCGGAGAAAACCCAAGAGGTTGGACAGGCGACCCTACTCCCTCCTTGTCACGTACAACCGGAAATTCGAAACCACGCCAGTTGACTCAATGGCAGACCCTATGATACAGCGCGCACATGCTACCCCCTCCCCTAGATTCCTTGGATGTAAGGTCATATGTTATACAGGTCATAGGCTACGGTGTATAAATATTAGGATAAGTACAGAGTAGATGATAAGTTATAACCAGTAGATACATGTTAAACAATAGATATCTCTAATGATAATTATACAATGAACTATATACCTACTGTGAATATATAGATATAATTAGGTGTTTATTCATCCTGATAGTGTTATATATAAAACATGTATAATTCTATATAGATATAATTAGATCTCTCTCTCTCTCTCTCTCTCCCTCTCTCTCCCTCTCTCTCTCTCACTAGCCTTTACTACTGTTGTTATACACATCTGTTAGTGTGCATTATACATCCTGTTAGCCCCATACGTCAAACACCGTGACAAGGTTTGGGAATTGTTAGCCTCATACGTCAAACACCGTGACAAGGTTTGGGAATTGTTAGCCTCATACGTCAAACACTGGAACAAGGTTTGGGAATTGTTAGCCTCGTACGTCAAACACCATGGCAAGGTTTGGGAATTGTTAGCCTCGTACGTGAAACACCATGGCAAGGTTTGGGAATTGTTAGCCTCATACGTTAAACACTGCGACAAGGTTTGGGAATTGTTAGCCTCGTACGTTAAACACTGGGACAAGGCTTGGGAATTGTTAGCCTCGTACGTTAAACACTGGATCAAGGTTTGGGAATTGTTAGCCTCGTACGTTAAACACAGCGACATGGTTTGGGAATTGTTAGCCTCATACGTCAAACACCGTGGCAAGGTTTGGGAATTGTTAGCCTCGTACCTTAAACACTGCGACATGGTTTGACTGTACACAACTACAAGTGTGGCCGTGTACGAGACAGCATATGCTTGCTTTCTACACAATTCAATGGGGTTTAACGTCCTATTTTTTCGCACCGACTGGGCTAATGAAGACGGGACTATATGCAGTCTAATTATTAAACTGTATTTCTTTCTTGAATTATCAAGTTTAAAGTTGACGTCGTTAACACCTGGATTCTGGTCGTCATATTGTTATTATATTGATCATAGAGGTTTGATTGAATTGTTTATTACAATATATTAAAACAATACGTTATTAATCTGACAGGTGTCAATCAAATGACGCAAGTCATTAGATTAAAATAACGTAATCTCTAGTTAGTTATAAAACGATTAAAGGACAACTAGTTTAGAGGTGGTTAAACATTAGATTGTAATCATCAGTCTGGATATTTTATTGATTGAACGAAGAACTGTTCTACTGACATTGGGAAGTTAGGTAAGTCAAACCTCTCTCTCAATAATCCCCGTCCACGATTCATTATAGGTTTAGTCAGATATAGTATGTATTATAGTCAGATATAGTATGTATTATAGTCAGATATAGTATGTATTATAGTCAGATATAATATGTACTATAGTCAGATATAGTATGTATTATAGTCAGATATAGTATGTATTATAGTCAGATATAATATGTACTATAGTCAGATATAGTATGTATTATAGTCAGATATAGTATGTATTATAGTCAGATATAATATGTACTATAGTCAGATATAGTATGTATTATAGTCAGATATAGTATGTATTATAGTCAGATATAATATGTACTATAGTCAGATATAGTATGTATTATAGTCAGATATAGTATGTATTATAGTCAGATATAATATGTACTATAGTCAGATATAGTATGTATTATAGTCAGATATAGTATGTATTATAGTCAGATATAATATGTACTATAGTCAGATATAGTATGTATTATAGTCAGATATAGTATGTATTATAGTCAGATATAATATGTACTATAGTCAGATATAGTATGTATTATAGTCAGATATAGTATGTATTATAGTCAGATATAGTATGTATTATAGTCAGATATAGTATGTACTATAGTCAGATATAGTATGTATTATAGTCAGATATAGTATGTACTATAGCCAGATATAGTATGTATTAATCTATTCCAGGGTTCAGTAGTTTGTTATTCAGATGTAGCACGTCTTAATTTTTGTTTTGATGTGCCCAACCTCGTGGGTTTTCTCTTCGGATTCTAATATTTCTTTCATTTCTAAAGACCTTGCGCTGCAGTTATGCCGGGGGGTTGGATGGTAAGCACGTGCGGGCTGTATCATAAGACCTGTCATTGAGTCAACTGGCGTGGTTTCGAATCCCCGGTTGTACGTGACAAGGAGTAGGGTCGCCTGTCCAACCTCGTGGATTTTCTCCGGGTCCTCCGGTTTCCTCCCACTGCTAAAGACCCCTACGCGAAAGCGAATTATTGAAATAAAATTAAACCATATGTTAGTCCCGAAATGACCTAGTTTGTGTCGAGTGGACGTTAAACCCCATTTCTCTCTCTCTCTCTCTCTCTGCAGTTATGCCATGTATGTGGGTAAGACGCTAAGTGAGTAAGACGCTGGCTCGCTAGCCTGGAGGTCGCGTGTTCGATCCCTGCATTGGCCGAGAAAGTTCATTGTGATTTTCCGACTTGGCTTCCCCTTGTCAGTGCTGCCGGAAGGAGGGCCTGACAAGGATAGCTGTCTAGTCGTTCGGATGGCACGAAAAACCGAGGTCCCGTGTATACATTGACGTGCACGTAAAAGATCCCTTGACGGTTGGAATTCAATATAAGAGTAGGCCGTAGTGCCGCTGCCTGGGCAAAATATCCCTGATAGCACACTGTATGGCGTATGCCCGTCTTCATTAGCCTAGTCAGTGCAGAAAAGTAGGACGTTAAACCCCATTTCATTTCATTAGCCCAGTCAGTGCAGAAAAGTTAAACCGGTGATTGGAGATGTAGGTTAATGAGAGACATGTGGGATCAGGTGTCCGACTGTATTATATACATGGTGCTATTATTCATAACAATATCTATAGTTTGACACATTACTAGAAAATATATCATCAGCTGTCTGTAGAGGGGGGGGGGGCGAATGGTTAGCACGTGCGCGCTATATCATAAAGTCTGTCATTGAGTCAACTGGCGTGGTTTCGATTCTCCGTTTGTACGTGACAAGGGGTAGGGTCGCCTGTCCAACCTAGTGGGTTTTCTCCGGGTCCTCTGCTAAAGACCCCTGCGCGCAAGTGAATTATTGAAATAAAAATTGAACCATGTGTTAGTCTCAAAATGACCTAGTTTGTGTTGAGTGGACGTTAAACCTCATCTCTCTCTCTCTCTCTCTCTCTCTGGCCAGGATGTAGTTTGACACATTACTAGAAAATATGTCTTCAGCTGTATGTAGAGTTGATTATATTCTTATCAAATAAACCTTCATTTCTTATCAAGACATCTCTATATAAAACTAGCCAATCACAGTGCTGTGATGTCGTACACGGAAGTCAGGTATGCTTACTCTTTCCAGAATACCCGATGACGTCATATGTAATATCCACTTAGCCGATAGTCTTGTATTGCTTTTAATATCCAGTTTATTGTGGTTCTCGTTCACTGGATTTTATATGTCTTTTTGAACTGTCTGTACACTAATTTGGGTATTTCTGGATTGTCAACGTTTTTAGTCCACTGTCCAATAAACGATACAAGGTTTGCTTAATACGACGACTGGTAACACTAAACCCAAATAGCTGTTTTAGACTGTGTCTACCAGTAGCGGTTTTAGACTGTATATACTAGGAGCTGTTTTAAACTGTATTAACTAGTAGCTGTTTTCGACTGTATTTACCATTTAGCTGG